GAATCCCTCAAACTAATCTAAGTGAACCTCCCGAACACTCAGTTTAATCAAAAGGAAACTACTCTCTCAATGTGATCGAGAACACCCTCTCGATTCATACCACACAATAAATCAAACTCACATAAATCGTTTCAAAACTCAAGAACAACTATAAGAAAAACAAAAGATAATTGTTCGAACTACTTTCTTCATACACGTTTCCAAGCTTATATGTCGCGCTCAAGTATGATAAGTCCAAGGACCTTTGCCGCCAAGTCTTGCTACACAAGGTAAGTTCCCTTGATTGATCCGCTGTCACCACTTAAGGAATGTTTGACCACGCGGTTTGGGATTCTTCACATGGTAAGTGTATCTTATGGATACATCTTTAACCTTCCATAAATAATAAAAGTATTAGTTAATTTTTCAATTAACTAATATTAGGGAACTTAGTTAAAATAATATAAAGCAAACTTACCTTAAATATTCCTGCCCGCAAATATTTTGGGTAAGATGAAGGTTCAATCCAGGATCGGCGGTTTACTGCCACTTCACAAAACTTACATCATTATTTTAGATAGTGTTTGAAATTTTATTTCAATATCATTCTAAGTCTTCACTTTTATCATTGATATCGGATAACGTACCGGGTCGGGTCGATTGGACCCAAGAAACAGCAAGACCAAACCAAATGAACCGACAGGTCAAACAAAGACTGAAGGCATTACAGGTTGAAGGATCCTCAAGCCAGTGGGGACATCACTGATCTATGGAACACCGACAGGACGAATTAGGGCTCTTGGATGGCCTGGCTGAAACTTTATCTTTAGGTACGACTGGTCTCAGGATCGACCAGATGAGTAAAACATAGAAGCTCGATGACGTTGGTACTCTACCTCGAGATAATTGGGGGTCAATCTCACGATTAGACTGTCTAATAAGGAAGACTAAGGGATACGAAGGATATTATTAGGATAAGATACACACGTGGATATGGCCACGTGGCTTAACAGAATTGGACAGTTTGGGCAGTCTAGACAGCCCACCCGAGCACTCTTTGGTAACAAGGTATCATCTTCCTATATAAGAGAGTGAGCTATGCCCACTATTACATTACATTCTCTACATATTTACATATTATTCATCATCTTCTACACTGTGCTAGCTTAAGCATCAGATGCTCTTCACCGGAAAAAAACCCTCTGGTGTCGAGTTTCCGCAGGTTACGAAAGTCGCTCACTGGCAGGTTACTTTTTATAATTTTATAATCTTTATATCATCTTACCATTTTTCTTTTAATATTTTCCCTTTTTTTCGACTTCAACTTCTTAATATGTTGAAAATCCTTTATCTGATATTTGTGTTTATCATTTAGTTGAATTCTATATCAAGTTTTGAAAAACTTGACCGTCTTTATTTAAAATATATAATTACGTTAATTAATTTATTTATTTCTTAAAAATTCTAAAACTTCAACCAATAAAATTTAAAGTGCACATTGTTTGGACAACTTGAGTAAATTCTTTATAGCTAAAAAATAGATGTAACATTTAAATTAATGTATTTCATTGAACCAAACGATTTATAAACCATATTGAAAATATTATGCTTTGGTCTTTTTAATATTAAAATAGATATCAATGCACCTATGCATGCTTTTATATTTATATCTATTAATATAGAAAGGGTCTAAAAATTTATATTAAATAGTGAGATAATGCACAGCCTAAACTTTTTATTTTACTAAATATAGGAATTTCAAAATATTTTCAATTTTTTCGCCTTTAAAATATGATAAATAAATTATAAATAATTATAAATTTAAAATATGATAATAAGTGTCAATGATTCCAAATTTAAAATGAGATAATAAAATCTGCAGCACATTTATTAGTATCTATCTAGAGAAGAAATAATAAATATCATGTACACTATATACGCAAATATATATGTTTATTTTGTTTTTAGATTCATAACATATCTACGTAAATTATCAATTTGTTCAATTCCATGCGGATGTAATTTTTTTTTTTTTTTCGGGTAATTATTGAATTGTCCATTTTACACGTAGACTCAATTTTTTTTAATTGAAAAAATGCTACATTATAATTTTTAATTTATTTTTTCTATGTATGTGCGTCATATCTTATGTTCAACAGTCGCATATTTTAATTTTGATTAATCTATACAACCTTTTAGCCTTCGGTGATATTACATAATAGAATCCATGTACATAATTTTTTAAGTGAAAATTGGGGTAAAGAAGAATAAGATATGTTTTTCCGAAATATTTTATCAAAACTGTATAATATTTATTAATCTATTTTCTAGCAAATTTATAAAACAGATGTTGACAATCACTTGTTTTTTTTAGATACATTAACACTTGAAATTTCTTAAGAGGTGATTCGAAAAATTGAATCATAAAGTCTCATTAATATATTTTTTACATTAATTTAATCTATTTGGTAAAGTAAAAGCTATTTTTAAAATTTAAAGCAGTTAATAAATGGATAAATGAATGAAAAAATTAAACTAGGGAATACTTTTTAATGTGTGTGTGATCTCAAAAAAATATAGATACCAATATTTTATGTGTATACCTTGAAAGGATACGTACAAAATCACCTTAAAATCAACATTAGGTTTATTCAACAGGTTAATATGTTCATTTAGTCTAACATTTAATTTTTAAAAATAACTTAATATGATTTTTTAGTATAACATATAATTTTAACAAATCTCTTTAATATTTTTTATTAGTCCAATATTTACCTTTAAAAAATAACTTTAATATTACATTGTGGTGCATCGCACGGGATATGAACTAATTTGTTAAGAACAGATGATCAACAGAGGTCCCAAGGTGCTTACTGATCGCACCCCACTTACTGGATAATGTGCTTAATTACCGATCACTACCACACAGGCTCTCACTTGTGCGAGTAAGGTTCACGACACTATGTAGAATTCATCCTTCTATCTTCACTCATCTTTCTAGCTTTCTTCAAAAGTCAGATCGGTGCCTTTTCCCCTTTTGGACCCCCAAAGAATTTCTACGGGGTGGGAGCCTATTTCTGAGAGACCTGTTGCAGAGAGACCCGTGCATGCCGAGAGACCTCTTGTCGAGAGACCCGTGCGTGCCGAGATACCTATTTTCGAGAGACCTGTTTCTGAGTGGCATGCTTTCGAGAGACTTGTTGACAAGAGACTTGTGCGTGCCGAGAGACCTGTTGCCGAGAAACCTGTTTCCGATAGACCTGTTTCTGATGCCGAGAGACCTGTTTCCGATAGACCTGTTTTGTCTAAAAATTAAGTGAAGCTAAAATTTACCACATTTAATTGCTCAATAAATGATTTACCACATTTAAATGCTCAATAAATGATAACAACAAATCTATTTATATGTATAGTAATATTAAAATTATAGTAATATAAAAATGTTGTTAGAAAAATACCTTTATAGTAAATTTGACTGAAAAAAAATAAAAAGTTTATCTTACTATTAGTAGTAATTTTGAATAACACACATTAAAAATCAAATTTAGTCATATTGTTAGACATTTATTTCGATTTCTTTCCAACTATTTAGTAACAAAATTTGAATCTCATTTTTTTTTTTTGGAACAAATTTAAAAATTATTATGCCAAACTTTGAATTTCATTTTTTTTTCCGTATTATTTTATATTATTTACGAAATTTTGAATCTCATTTTTTTTATAACAAATTTAGATATTCTTATGCCAAATACAAATTATTTATGAAAACAAATCCAAATACAAACTAATTTAAAACCTTGCAAATTTTATAAAAATTTAGGAAAGAAATAGTTGTATAACTCTTAACAAATTCTTTTAATCTATTTAATTATTATTTTTTAAACATGTATGCAAATTGGATAAAACCACGTGAATGTTTTATTTTAAAGTCAAACCTTATCTAATTTTTTTTTAAAAAAAAATATCAAATCAAAGAACATAAAAAAGTGATTAATTTAATTTATCATATATAAAAAAGATAATAAATACAAAAGAATTATTAAATTTTAAAATATGTTTATAATTTAATTTGACCCAATTTTAGTAATACAAAAAGTTTATGAATAAAAATTTAAATTTACATAAATTACTCCAACATGATTGGTTACAAGAAATATGGTCAATTTGACCAGAATTTTATTTTTTAAATTGAAAATCTAACTCAACTCAAATTCAATATTTCTGTAGTATAATAAATAATAATAAATCATCCACACACATTACATCAACTTTAATTTCATATTCATCCATTAAAATAATTTTAACTACACATCACTTTCCAATCACGTATCTCTTACTTTTACATCAAATCAATTATAATTATTATATTTTAAATATTATTTTAGTACAAACTCAAAATCCCCACCCAATCAACTTTTTCAAACCTAACTTTTGATATTCAACAAATTTAATGAAATTCAGATACTTGTATACAAAAATTCTCAAAAATATCTAAACATTTTTACTCAACTATTTTTTTTGGGCTCAACTTTAACTCAACCTCACTACCATTAATATAATTAAATAATATACACACCACGTCAACCTTAATTCACTATTGATCAACTCAGATTATTTTAACGAAAAATTACTTCACATTATCTCTCTCCTACTTTTACATCAAATAAATTTTAATTATTTTATTTTAAATATTATTGTAATATACATACTAACAACTAACCATATCACGTTTTTCAAATCAACCAAACCAAATCAAATAAAAAATTCAATCAAAACCAAAAATTTTTATATCAAGCCTAAATAACTTAAAATTCCATTAACCCTCAAAAGTTAAGAAACTTAAGATTCCCAATGATTGAAAACAGACATACAGATAATGAATCATCAAAATTTGACGTATATATACACAGACATGGGAGGAATATAATATAATTATATTAACCACTATTTTAACATGTCATTCTCAGCGTGAACTTTTTGCCTATAAAGGCAAAGTGAAAACTTCTGTTTGGTACTGACCAAAAGGGCTCTCATCTCAAACGCACCACATTTGCAGGTGTACTTTCTTCTTATCTATAGGAACAGCTTAGTTTTACTTCACATTAAACTGATCTGAAAAACAAATAAGCATAACATGTTTTTGTTTTTCTTCTTCCCCATAATCATTTTGAGTTTGCCCTTTCTACATACTTGTTAAAGAATATCAGCTTATTTTCATGTTATATTTTTCAGGACAATTGGATAAAATCATCTCTATAATGAACTCCTCGGTGATTTCATGGATGTCTCCGCCGGTACGTTTCTTTNAATTTATTCGATTATTTGTTCCTTCTATTTGCTTCACCCATGTATTTCTTCATGAAATGGACTTCAAATTAGTATTTTGTTGTTTTAGCAAAACTTTCACGAACACCCTACAAGCTTCTTATTTCTTTAACGAGAACACGTGATGAACGAACAATATAATATGCATGTAGAAACACTACTTTGTGTAGTATAGTTTAAATTATACATTGTTTTAGCACATTATAGATTAATATAGCAATTTAAATGGCCAATTTTCCTCATCCCAAGTTAAAAAACTCCATGGATGCTAAACATGTTCAATATGTTACTACCTTGCAGTAATGCTATCAACTTTTGTAGGAGATAATTAAATATTAAATAAAATGGTGCCAAATATGATTAATCATTCATGTTACATATTGTTTATTTTCTGTTATTGCAAAATATAATCTACAAGTACTGCATGCAGAAATCTTGCGAAATCGTTATATGTATATACAGACACACACTACAATATCTATTCTGTGTATAAGAAGTTAACTTCTTGTTGTTTTCATCTTTTGCTTCATTTCATTTATTTCCCCACAACCATGCATGAAATAATATGCCAACACAAATTCTAAGGTGAGAAAACTTAACGTTTAGGCTGGTCGATCAGTCAGACTTTTTGAACAAAACGCATAGTTAATTGTTAAACATCTTACCTTCGTTTAAGTTGTTTATTAAAGTAATATGCGATTTGCCATACTTTCTAAAGTGTGCGTACTTGTTAGAAAAGTATGACTGGCTAACAACAATCTTACTTAGTTACACCAAAAGGTTGAGGTGAGATTAAATGAATTTAGATGTCAAATTTGACTTTCTAATTATCCTATTCAATGTTAAGACTCGAACATTAACTAAAGCATAACCTCTATTTGTGTTCATTACATCTCAAAACATATGATTTCAACCTTAATTTGTACCGCCAAATTAATTTTCAGGTCATGAACAATTTCGATGAGGAATTTTTAGCTTCATTCGGGCAAGACTTTGGGAACTATTTATCCTCTCCAAGAAGCTGCAACTTGACATGTTCTTCGGCTTTGATTAATAACAACATCCATCCAAGCAGCAACTCAAACTCAAACGACTCGATCTACACTTCCTTCGGGCTCGAACAACCTAAGATGATGTCACATCAAGACCCTGATAGTAGTACATACGCACACTTTCCAAACATGATAAGCCAGAATTGCATGATTAGTTATCCTGCCGACCAAGTTTCCACTGATGACCCCACCATTTTGAACTACTTTGTGAACCACAATCCTTCACAAAATATCCAGCAGCCACAGGTGAGTGTCCTGGACCACAAACAGGGGTAGATTTGGAATTTTACTAAATATCCGTCAATGTCATAAAAGTACTTTTAAAATAATTGTCTTGAATAGGTGAATCATATGCAATCAAATGGCGAAGAAAATAGTGTTGGGCCTGAAATTGTAACGGGCCACGGCCCAATATATAATGTGAATGGGGAAGAAGGTGATGTGGCGATTAAGGCTCAGCCAGTAAAGAAGAAAGCTCGAATTCGGCCGCCATCGCAAACGTACGATCACATCATAGCCGAGAGGCGGCGGCGTGAGCAGCTCAGCCAGTTATTTGTTGCACTTTCGGCCCTAGTGCCCGGTCTAAAGAAGGTACTTGGATATATACGATGTTTTGGTTTTGCTTGAATTTTTTGGTTTGGTATGAGTAATTTTGANNNNAAAAAAAAAAAAAAAAAAAAAAAAAATGGTATGTTTAGTTGTTAGTAAGATTTTGAGTTTATATTAAAATAATATTTAAAATGAAGTAATTAAAATTGATTTGATGTAAAAATATGAGAGAGATGATGCGAAGTGATGGTTAGTTAAAAAAGTAAATGAATTGTGAATTACAGTTGATGTTTATTCCAACGGTAATTCCAATGGATATTTCAATACTATTATTTTCTGTTGGAATTTTTCAATGGATTCCAGCGGAAATTTCAACAAAAATATTTTGTTGGAATGAGTTTCCCATTGATATTTTCGTTGGATTTTGACGATTCCAACGGTGGATTTTCCAACGGGAGTGGAAATAAAAATTCCAACGGAAACTGCATATTCCAACGGAAATTCCTTCAGTAAACAGCCCTTGGAAATATAGCCGTTGGAATAATCAAATTCCATGTAAACTTCCAATGAAAAACACATCCCAACAGAATATTTCCGTTAGAATCATTCCAACGGATGCTCTACCACTGGAATATCCGTTGGAATGTCTATTGGAATATATTACCATTGGATTTTTTGGTTGAATATAACAGTTTTTTTGTAGTGTATATCTTTTCAAAATTAACTTATTACAATATTCACTTGTGAGTTGTCCCACATCGTTTATATAAGAAAATAGACCTAACTTATCAGTCTTTAGAATCATTCCAACGGATGCTCTACCACTGGAATATCCGTTGGAATGTCTATTGGAATATATTACCATTGGATTTTTTGTTGGAATATAACAGTTTTTTTGTAGTGTATATCTTTTCAAAATTAACTTATTAGAATATTCACTTGTGAGTTGTCCCACATCGTTTATATAAGAAAATAGACCTAACTTATCAGTCTAGTGGGCTACTCCTCTTTCCACCAATTGATTTTGAGATGAAACCTCACTTGGGATTCATTTGAGCTTTCCTTATCATTGTGCATTTCATATGCGTAGGACCGCAACCATTTTGCACCCGTTTCTTTACATAGCTGTAGAGAGAGGGCTATCCTAAAAAATATTGAATTGATTAAAACTAATACAATAACATTGAAGAAATTTAGTAACTAATTGGTCTTGATTTTTCAAAAAAAGGACAAATGTAATGAAATTAAAAAGTTGGATATTACTCATGTTAACGAAACATAATTTTTTTCCTTTGTATAAATATCCGAGATGTTTTAATCCCATGAAGCGTCATTAATTCCTTTGGGCACCTTCTGTGTGCGAGGCACATTCGCTCGTTGTGACACGTCACATTATAATATAATAACACAGAGTACGTGTACAATAAATAATAAGAAATACACGCGATGGTCGCATGCCGGTTAAAATAATTAGAAAAATAAAAAATAAAAATGACAATATATATATACTTTAGTCACTGATATATGTTGTGAAAATTGATTTGGTTAATTAGATGGATAAAAGCTCGGTCCTTGAAGACGCCATAAAGTATATGAAACAGCTCAAGGAAAGAGTCGAAGCTCTTGAAGCAAACGCGGAAAAGCACGCAATGGAATCAATTGTTCTCGTCAAGAAATCACAGATTATATTAGAAGATAATGAAGAAGAGCAAATTAGCAGCTGCCTTGAGGAACAAGCATTGCCTGAGATTGAGGTTCGATCGTGCGAGAATCACTTGCTCCTCAAGGTGCATTGCGAGAAGCAAAAGGGCGTTCTCGTCAATTTGGTCAACAAAGTCGAGAGCTTGAATATGATCGTCATCAACACTAATGCCACGACTTTTGGGAATGTCACGCTCGACATCACCATTGTTGCCGAGGTACTGATATTTTAATTATTTATTTCGTTTATTTTAGTTATGTGTTTGTACGATTTTACACGTATTATTTTGTTTTGGGGTTTAACATATATATAGATGGAGAAAGAGTTCAACTTGAAGATGAAAGAAGTTGTGACAGCTGTACGAGAAGCTATTAAGTCTGGCGATACCTGAAACTGAGATATGGTGATGAAAATGTTCGACGACTGAATGTTGACAATGCCTGAAATAGAAATATTAGCGGTGTTCTTATTCATTTTCATGAGTAACAAATGAAATGAGTTTGTAGTAGTATTTACGTAATAATATCTTGGTCTGATGAACGGGATGCCTTGACATTTATGTATGTGTTTGTTGTGGAATTTTACTTTATTTTCATGTAGGGATTCAATAAATGTGGGAACCCAAATTAAAGGAGGGAGAACTCGTCTTTCATCTATGTACATTAAAGAAAATGTTACAGTCCCGTTACGGAACCATTCCGTTACAGATTTATAAAACAATAGTCAGATTTGTGATATTAATTGTTTGCTCTTTGTCGTTTGAAGTGCGTCTTGTTTCCGCTTATATATACGCTATAGTTGGATTTGTGATATTCCGCTTATAAAAAAACTAAAGCGAATCACGTAATTTATATATGATATGCTTATGTCCGTTTGCCAAGGTACAAATTAATTCCGATGCAATATATTACAGCCACCCCCGTATATTCTCAAATCTAATTCAAGGTATTGTTCCACCGATCTTTAAAGATGGCATTATATATCTATTTAATAGCATTCACAAAATAAATAAATAAAAATATTACATGCCACGTAGTAAATAGACTCAGTCTTAAAAAATATGTTTTCTAATGTAAGTGCAAGTGGACTGGTCCTGCTGATGTGACAGCAAGAAAAAGAGACATAGTCTACTCTTATATCTATTTTGGACCTAACTACAAACTCGGTCTCGTTGCATTGTAATATATCAAGACGGACAGGATTTAACCAGATCGATCCTCAAACGTCCTTTTGCTCCAAGCTCCAGTGACCTGCAATGACACTCTGATACTCAAGTCAGACCTTGCTCAAGGAAATAATCTTATAAAGTGTGTGTTTTATGTGTAAAATATAACATGGTTACCCTTATATAGAGTGAGTCTCTGATGCCTAAGAGAATCCTTGTTATACAAGAGATCTAACCAGATCATCTTGTCTAACTTACCACGTTTCTATCCAGCCAAGTCTCATGGGCAAACTATACTTTCCATCCTTCTATGATTCTTTCCCCTTCATTGTACAACTCTTAGGTTTCTAGGTCGTAACCACGATCTCCTCACCTTCTGGTTGTACTTTTATTGAGATTGACTCCCGACCTCCAAACTTGCGACCTCAATACCTTGAGGTCCCTGTCCATACTTGAGCTCTTGGAGGTCGTAGCCTCCAAGTCATCTTATAAGGTCTACCAGTACCATGAGTTATGTCCGTGAGCTCCTTGATTGGGTTAGCTAATTTTTAGCGAGTTGGAGCTTGTCTGGGCCGGCCTACCCCTAGCTAACTACTCACGCTGAGCCGTCGAGCTATTCTTGGTGTTACATCATCCAACCCCTTATTTAAGAACGAGTTGCCAACACATGTGCTAAAATTGCACCTTGTCGTGCCTTTGAACCTGGTTTATTTCTACATTAATTGTCCTGTTAGACAACCTTGGGGAATGTGGTCTTACAGCCCACACTGGAAAGGCCAGCCAAAGATGCGACTTCCTCGACTCCTCCCCATGCCTCTGAGCTTTTTTTTATATATATATATAATTATTACTCCTGTAATCGGCATGCCATGGTACTTGACCTTGTAATGGCAATCATTTTCAATAACTAAGACATCGTTTCTTTTATGATCTCATACTATTTATTTCTTGCGCATCCTTTCTTTTGTTTAACCTTCTATGGATTTTCAGCTCCGTATCTCGAGTTCCTTATCGCTTTAAATAGTAGACTATTTTAACGCTCGAGCTAACCTGCTTCGAGTTCATGCTAGTTCTTTAAACATCGTAAACAAACTTTTGAACCTACACCGGATTGGAATAAATTACTTACCCTGATCTTGAAAAACTCAGAGAACTTTAGTAACTCACGTGCCTGGGCAGCCAACCCCTAACTTTTGACGTCTACAACTATAATTGCTAATCTTTTTATTTTTTTAATACTACTCGAGGCTCTGTCTTTTTTTGTCTTAGGCCACCGAGGTAACTGCTCGAGGTTCTACAATTTAATTTCGGCTCATTGAGGATGTTTGCTCAAGGTCACATCTTTTTGTTTTAATACTTTCAGTTTTTATCTGAAGTTTTGTTGATCATCATTGGTCTTTCAAGCTCGTTCGCCCGAGGTTCTGCCCCATGATTTTCCGGAAAAGAGATCTTACCCGTTCGCAGAAGCTATAGCCTGGGTTGAGAAAACCACCTCAACCTCTCTAGCACCCGGACTACCTGCTTTGGGCTACTATATCTTTAAAAATGATACCACATTGGCTTGCAGCCTTCGAGTCGTTTATTCAAGCTTTTGTCTCCTTACTCTTCCCTCGAGCTAATTGCTCGTGGTTTTGCCGCTGTACTTAGACCCTCGATCCCATCCACTCGTGTTTCCGTCAAACAAGATATTCTTAACCCTCGAGCTACTAAGGGTTCCACCAACTGTCTTTGATGACATCTCATCCCTCCTCCCCCACAGTGGGGTTTGGTCGACGAGTTGTGAACCTTTATCCCTTAATACAATAGAGTATTGAAAACTTAATTTGCTACCAAACTTTGACGAAGATTGTCAAATCTTTTGTTGGACTTTTTAATTAGACTGTCTGGGCTCCTGGTATCATCTTGAATCCTGACTTCCCCTATCTTAGGACAACTTCCGTGATCTGCATCTACTTCGAGTTGATGTCGCTAAAGGCTTTTTTTTCTTTTTTAACTTTTATTTGATAATCATAAGACTTTTATGGCCTTAGAGCCCCCTTCTCAGCGTTGTGTCTTTTCACAAACTTTTGTCCCTCAAGTTAACCACTCGAGGTTCTACCCCTTTAAAGCATTTGGCTCCCAAGCTAGCTGCTCAAGCTTCTGCAAGCTAAAGTTGGGTTGTTCTTCCTCCCCACTTTTCTTCTTGCCTTGTATTCCTGCATTCTTGAGAATTATCTCATAACACGACTTCACTTGTCTCTGATCCCCCATTAGTTGATACCGCGACCTGAAAAACATTCAAGAAAGGGCATCCCAGAAAGATGTTGAATGTTAACTTGGTATCCACTACCAAGAATCTGACCATCTTAGCCACCCTTAGGGATGACCTCCCTAGGGCAACTGGTAGGAGCACCTCGCCTAAGGGTGCCACTAGGGCCGTATGGACTGGCCCCATGCTTACCTCCAAATTCATCTGTATTAGGACTGTTGGAAAATGATGTCCGCCGAACTGCCTGTGTCAATGAATACTTCTTGTAACTTATAGCCATGATCTTGGCAGTAATAACCAGGGCTTCATTGTGCGGCGAATTGATACCTTTGACATCTTGCATTCCGAACACTAATGTTGCTTCAGGTTGCTGGACTTGAACTTCTGAGACCTCCTTAGCAACTTCTTTGCCTCAGTAAGTCATATTTCTCTAATTATAGGAGTACTTGTTCGTTGGTCCTCCTGCTATCATTTGAATCACCCCTCCCTTGGACGGCCTCTCCTCGGGCTCTTTAGTATGCCTTCGCTTTTCTACGACCTCGTGATCATCTCTTTTCTCTTTGGCTCTTACAACAAACTCCTTGAGCTGTCCAGCTCGTATGAGCCTTTCAATATCGTCCTTGAGCTCCGTACAACTATTAGTCGAGTGGCCATAGTCCCTGTGATACCGACAATGTCAGTCACCCCTTGAGGGTATGTACCCTCCCTTCCTTAGAATGGGGTTATGCCCACCAAGGATCTCCGTGTCAGCCCCCTTTTCCAAGACCTCAACCACATCCTTATAGAGCATTGTTAGGGACGAGTATTGGTTGTACCTGTACCTCATTCTGGCCCATTCCTCTTACCTTACTTCCTTGTTTGGAGGACTCTTATCACTTGAGCGAGGTTTCTCCTCAGCTCGCTTGACCTTCGTTTTATATTCGGTTTCTTCATATTTGTTAGAATATCACTTGTGAGTTGTCCCACATCGTTTATATATGGAACATAACCACTGTATAAGTCTAATGGGCTACTCCTCATTTCACAAATTGGTTTTGGGATGGAACCCCACTTGGGCTTCATATGGGCTTTCTCCGTTCATGGTGCACTTCATGTTAGTGAGACCGCACCCGCTTTCTTCCCCAGTTTCTGTCAATATTGATGTAATTGTTGCACCTGGTACAACAGCTCGTTAAAGGACCTCGCTGGCCTATTTGCTAAAGCGTTCCAACAATGTCTTGGTTGGAGACCTCGAGTGAGACCTCTTGCTTTGATCTCCTCTGAGGTTGATGGACCTCCACACATTCCTTGGTGTAGCGGGCAACGTAATCTCAAAGGAACTCCCCTTATTTTTGCTGCCTATATATATTGTAACTTAAAGGTACCGAAGGTTCTATGGAATTATTTAATGAATAAAATGATGATATGGATACAAAAAAATAATTTACGATCAAACGAATTAAAACGGATACGGGTATCCTAATGAAACCATTTTGGTGCAGGGATGAGTGGATGACGCCATGTGGGACACGAGAGCAATAATCTGCTCGTGATCGTGTATAGCATGCACACTTTTGTGTGAACTGCTTTTCAATGAATCCCAATTCTTTTGTTTGCTAGTAAAACTTTTAAATAATCAACCATTCCACTCATTTCGGAAAACCTACAGCCAATATTTATATTCGTTCTTCAGTTATAAAATAACTAGTACGTACCCCGAACGATATACGGGATAAATATATTAAATGATTTATTTTCACAGTCTTTGTTCGTTTAAGTATATAAATCAATAGAATTATCATCTATTTTATCTTTTAATCAACATTAAGTGTAATAAACAATAAAATTATAATCTATTTTGCACCTCTTTTAATCAGCGTGACTTTTTTAGTCAAAACATTAAATATGAGCATGTTAGGGCTAGTTTGTAAAATAATTAATATATTATCTCACTAACACATTTATACTAATATAAATTTGATTTTAGTATATATATTTATTCCTTGATATAAGAGAGAATAACAATTTTAATTATTCTTGTTCACCATATAATACTTAATTATTATTTTATTATAAACTTTTATCATATAAAGTCATTATTATTTATAGAGTTATAGAAGTTGTACGTCTTTCTTTTCTTTTTATTTTATGTAATGAAAAATATTAATGCACGTTAGTATTATTTATTTATGTAATCAATTTAAAATATATAAATAAATTTACAATTAAATCGTGTGTAAATATTTTACAAAATATACACACGTTTTTTTAGAATTTAATTTTGTATACTAATTGAACAACTTTGATTTAGAAAATACCGATAACTCAATCCCTTCTATGATCAAGATTTTTCTAATTCGCAT